AGCCCAGCTCTCACGCACTCCTCCCAGATGAGGTGAGCACCCTAGCAAAAAAGAATTAAAAAAAAGCATAGATCAAAATCTTTCCCCTAAGTTCCATTTAGAAAGAGGCAGCTGGTGGGGGTGGGTTGGTGACCAGAAGGTGGCTAGGGTCCCAGTTCTCTCAGCGACTGGCTGCATGGCTGGAGCTCTGTGAGTATCAGTTTGTCCTTCTGTCAAATGGACAGAGCTTGTGCTTGGCTTTGCACATAGCTGTGGCGACACGGTGACTTCAGCTCTGTGCCCTCCCTCGCTCAGGCCTCAGCAGTTGACTTCCAGATTGGAAGTGGGGTGCTCAGGTGGGACCCTCAAGACATCTTGAGAAGCTCCCAGCGCTGAGGCCCTTCCTCACTCGCACAGCCTGCGGCCCCATGCACAGACCCCGTGGGCATCTGCGAGCACGGCCTGGAGAGCCCAGTTCAGCTTGGCCATGATGGAGGGGAGGCATGAAGACGTATAGGGTAGACCTTCTAACGTGTGCCACTAGCTTCTAACACAGGTGGAGACGCAGGGGAAAGCCAGGGGATCACTTTCCTCTTTTGGGATCCCAGTCTAGCATCCCCCAAGCCCCATCCGCCCTCTCTCCCTGTCCAGGCTGGCATCTCAGAGGCTCTCTCGGTGGCCATTTTCTGGCAGAAGGCGGTTGGGCCACAGGACTCTACAAAATGGTGGGCGGAAACTCGGGCTTCCTTCTTCTTTTTCTGCCGTCCCCATGAGCTCCTGTCATGGCCCCTGGCCCAGCAGCAGTTATGGCCATGGGACTCTTCAGCATGCGCACGAACCCCATATTTTCCCAAGTACTCCAGAGCCAACATCTCTTGGAGCCTCATCCTAGACCCGGGTTCTGGAAGCTGACATTGACCCTGCTTTACAGCCAGGGAAACTGAGGCTCAGAGTGGCTCCTTGGCCAGGAAGTGGCTTCTGACTCATGAGTAGCTTCAAGGGTTTTGTTTTTTGTTTTTTGTTTTTTTTTTAATTTTTTTTTTTTCAGCGTTTATTTATTTTTGGGACAGAGAGAGACACAGAGCATGAACGGGGGAGGGGCAGAGAGAGAGGGAGACACAGAATCGGAAACAGGCTCCAGGCTCTGAGCCATCAGCCCAGAGACTGACGCGGGGCTCAAACTCCCGGACCGCGAGATCGTGACCTGGCTGAAGTCGGACGTTTAACTGACTGCGCCACCCAGGCGCCCCTGTTTTTTTTTTTTTTTAACCGGGTTCCATGACCGCCCAGCCGATAGTGGGTGAGATGAAAAGTCTCCAGAGAATGGGGAGACCTTTCCCGAAGAAATCTTGAAGTGGACGGGGTCCGTGGCCCAAACCCTGCCTATTTTCCAGGGCTGGGAAAGAACATGGATCAGGAGTCACAAGGTCAAGTTAAAGATCCACTAGCATCTATTAGCATCTATTAGCTGTGTGATCTAGGAAAAGTCCCTTCGCCTCTCGGAGCCTCAGCCACTTAATCGGTAAAATGGGGGTAATAACTCCTATTTCATAGGGCTGCAATGAGGAAATAGATCTATGAATTTACAGAGTGCTGTCTGGGAAGCCGTTACCCTTGTGACTGCCCGGCTAACATCCTTAAACGTGTGTACGGTCTATGTGTGTGCTTTCTGTGGGCTAGTCACTGGGCTTGGCATTTTCATGAATATCAGCTCATCGAATCCCCGCCACACAGCAGTCCAGATGAATCAGGAGGAAGAGAACGTTCCCATATAGGACCAGCAGGGCCGGCTGGTCAGCCACCCCCCACAGCAAGCCCGTCCTGGGCTTTCCCCTTGACTGCCTCACCTCCAGGCTTCTGCTCAAATCGGTCCTTCTGCAAGGAATGTTTCCCACCCAGTATAGCATGGAGACGAGTCTCGTGTATCCATTGCCCGGCTTCCCCCCAGTGATGACATATTATGTAACTAACCAGAGTAACTTACCAAAACCAGGAAGCTGATATTGCCACAACACAACGAACCATTTACACTTTCCTCAGGCCTCATTAGTTTTTGCATACTTTGTGCCCAGGATGTTTGGGCCACTCTTCTCTGTATGTCCAGCCCCCTCGGGACAGCCAGGTTCCACCCCACCCCCCTGCCCCTACCGCCATCGCCCATCTGAGAAGCCACCAAGTGTCTCCAGGAGGCTCGGGCCCTCCCCCTCTTAGACTCCCAGCTCTGGAAGGCAGTGTAGCTCTGTGACGGAGAATGTGGGTTTTGGAGACCTACGGACCTGGATTTAAACTCCGGATCCGCCCCCAGCCTGGGACCAAATACATAAACTTCTGAGCCTTAGATGACCCAACCATAAAATGACCCAATGTCAGGGTGGGACAGCATCCGCTCAGCCGATGCTTACAGAACAGTAAGTCCCCTGCAGTGAATGGTGGTTACGGCTGTCAACGGATTGCATCTGTTGTCACACGTACCCCAGGCTGACCCTGTGTGTTTTATCATCTTCCTCACAGCACGTAAAGTGTTTGAGGACAAACCTTCGTATCTCACATCTCGGTGTTGTACAGGGCCTGGCACGCAGCAGGCGCCCAATAAATGTGACTAGATGGAACCTCCCGCCAGACAAACCGTCCCCAGGCTCGCGGTGCCTCTTCAGCTTCCCCTTCATTCATTTCTGGCCTAGGCGGGCAGGGTGGGTGCACAGCAGGACCCCACAAGGGCGCAGCCACATTTGACCCCATCTGTCCCTGAGAAGCCTTCCAGGAGACCCAGGAACCTCAGAGACCCCTCAGACTGCAAGCTGGGGGGGATGGGGGAGCTGGGGGAGAACCTCCTATTTGCAAGGAGCCCCGAGGACAGCCCTCCAGGAGGCAAGCCAGGCCGCTCTTCCCTGGGAAAGAGCCAGAGCTGCGACCCCTAAGCTCAAGTCCTGTCACTTACTAGCTACAGACTTTGGACCGGTCTCTCAGCCTCGATAAACCCTGGTTTCCTCATCTATACGCTGGACTTGTCATGTGGGTAAACGAGCTCACTGTGCAAACGGCGTGTTAACCGCTAAACCCTGCACTCGCATTTATAAGACGCTTCTCCTGGCTGTGTAACATTTATAACTCACATTTTTAAGCACTACTATATTCAGGCATTTTCCGATGCAATTATCTAAATTTCATAATGTGGTGAGGTGGGTGTTTTTATTTGTAGCCTGCAGGCACACAGAAGCTGAGAAATAACCCAGGTCACCCAGAGCCGGGACCGAGAAGCCAAGCCGGCCTCCGGCCAGGGTCCACGATTCCGCGTGGCAGGTGCCAGCCGGGGTTACCATGTCGCGCCCATACTCCAGTTGATTTCTAACAGCTGGATCTCTGCTGCCCTGCTCCACAAACGGTAAAGCCACAGAGTACGAGGGTTTTTAGGCTGGGTTTTTAGTGTTCAATTTGCCCGTTTTTCCAGTGAAGAAACTAAGCCCAGAGGAAGGAATGGGCCTGCCCAAGATTCCCCTGCAATCGAGAGCCAGAGTGAGTTCTAAAATCCTACGCTCACCCGTCTTCCTGGTCCCTTGTCCCCACCCTACAGGGGCTTGTTCCCAGAGGTAAACTGGGGGGATGTGAATCTGGGCACCATTCTCAACTGCAAGGCTCACCAGGAGTCTAGGGGCTGTCCTGGGGGCCTGGGGACATCCCGAAACGGGGTCGCCATGTTCTAAGATGTCCACCAGGAAGGTAAGCAGAAGGCTTCCCCAGGCTCTGTCCCGTAAGGGGAACAGATTGCCCACCACCCTGGTCCTTTCTCCGGACCAGGGTGAGGCCCATAGCTGAAGCCTTGAGAAATGATTTAGGTGGTCACTGACATGCTGTTAAATTACATGAAGGCAGTTATGCCCTTTCAGCTTTTCTGACTACTGGGAGGAGAAAATCTCTCAGGGCGCTAGTCCCTAATGCCTCTCTGACATCTAGAAACCCTCCCATTTGAGCTCAAGGAAAGCAGCAACACATTTGGCTAGAATTTAGTGACATTTTGTTTCCATGATGTTTATTTTCACCATTACCACCATTAAGGTGATTTACAATGGCTTTATCTTTAAGGGAGCAAGATAAAGTTTTTTTCTAAAAACGAAAGTATTTACACCTTGAAACATCAGCTTAGGGGCACCTGGGGTGGCTCAGTTGTTTAAGCATCCGACTTCAGCTCAGGAAATGATCTCAAAAAGATAATTTGAGCCCTGCATTGGGATCTCTGCTGTCGAAAAATAAAAACAAAAATCAAATATCCACTGAAAATATTAAGTAAATTATCAGTGAATTGGCAGCTTTCGAAAACCCTGGGAAGGGACAGGAATGAGGGCCCCCAGGAAGTCCTGCTCTGAGGGACTCTGGCAACCCTGACTCTGGGGGAGGCTTGGGGGGGCGGGTAGGAGGCAGTGCCAGGGATTGGGATGGAGAGTCTGAGGACGCTGTGAGTAGAGAGGAGATGGGCTTGGGGATTCCAGCCCCCACCAGGGTCTGTTCAGTGCAGGGCTGAGCATCAACATGGGTACAGGTCGGTGGTTTCACAGCCATCCACATGGCCTAGTCTTTTCCTCCAAGCCCCTGTCCCAAAGCCTCCATTGGGGCCACCTGCTTAATCCCTCCCTTGTCCCCAGGAATAGGGCTGATTCTTCAGCCTTTGAATCCAACGGCTGGGGGCCCAATGTGATGCCTGAGCTTCCCTATCAGGCAATGAGACTGGCTCCCAGCAGGCCTCAATAAACGCAGACTGAGTGAGGCAGTCAGTGGACAGTGTTTCTTACTCATTCTAGATGCCTCTGTAATAAGCCACGTTACCCTAGGAGCCGCGTCATCCCACATCACAACGATGGTGACCGTCATGCCAACGTCCCCCACCAGTCATTGACCTGTGACCAGAGAGCCAGACTAAGCCAGGAGAAATACACAGATGCCAGTCATATATTATTTATACATCTGTCTTGTCGGCTGGGAAGAATGAGGGGGGGGGGGGAATGAAGAAAAAGAAGAAGAATAGAATAGCAAACACATTTGTTTGATTTAATCCAATCGGGTGGATTGGATTAAATCTGATCCAGGACACATAGAGAATTAGGCTTGCAGAAGTTGGGTCCAGAGGTCACAGGTCAAGGGACCGGCTCAAGTGGAGGGCACAGCCTATCCAAAAGCTCATCTCACACGCATCAGCAGCATAGGAGAATCTTAATCTTCTATTTCAGCAAAACAATAGAAAAGCTGACCTCCTGTCAATGCACTAAGACAGAACCTCCAGTCTCCAGGGGGATAATCCGTGTTATCTGCTATGGGACAAGCCTTTTCTTCTTGGTAAGTGGCTTTGAAGCCCAAGAAGATTAGAATTTGAAAAATAAAGATGATGGAAAGACGTGGAAACCCCGAGTAATTATACATTTACGTTAAGTTTCGGTTGGATCAATTTCCCTGTGTTGCTGCATGAAGTCCTGTTACCTGTGATGTTAAAGAACACGTGGCTGCTGGAATTTCTCGTGTGTGTGACCGAGTAATTGACTTCAGTTGAAATTTTGAGTTAAAAACTTAAGAGAGTTTGGTAATGTCTGTAAACATTATTGGCATATTTCAGAGAACTTAATCCTCACTTTGTTTAAAAGTTAGGGTTTTAGATCTGTAAGTATTCTCTGAAATCCTTGGAACAGTTGTGTTTCTTAGAGCTGTTTGAAGCATTTATAAGACAATCGAGTTCGTTAGATGTACAAATGCAGCTTAGATTAGGTAAAGCAGTGCTATCCGATACAAACATCATGCAAGCTACCTGGGTCATTTAAAATGTCCTAGTAGCCACATTTTTTAAACGTAAAAAAGGAATAGATCAACCTAATTATAATGATAAAATGTATTTAACCTAACATATCCAGCAAATTATCATCTCAACATACAATTCACATAAAAGTTACTAATGAGGTATTTTGTGTTCTTTTTTTGAACATGTCTTCGAAATCTGCTGTGTATGTTACCTTTCCAACCTTCTCAACTCAGACTACCGCGTTTCAAATGCAACTTCCCGTGGCCGCTATATTAGACATTACAGATCTAAGGGAATTTAATTAGCTACCTTTGTGAGTGGTATTTATTATTTAAGGCGCTTACTCCGTTCAACCTGATTTGATGAGATATTCATCAAAGGCTCCCTGAGAGTCATTGTTGAAAATTACTGGACTTATAAATAAAGTGATTTTTGTATATTGAATTTACAAGCGAAAGGAAAAAAATCGATGTTAAAAAATTTGTTAATTTAAGAAACTTTTTTTTTTTTTTTTATAAAGTAACCACAAACAGCCTTTTTAGTGCACAACAGAAGCCCTCAACCCACCACCGTCCAGATGGAATTAGAGTCACCAACCTCGGCATGGCCCTTGGGGGAGAGGCCTGGTTCTATGTTATCGCTCTGCACACAGAAATGTCAGGTCTGACCGAGCCCTTAGGGATCGTCCACCCAAAGCACCCCATTTCACTGGCGCAGAAACCCAAGTCCAGATCAGAGAAGAACACAGGGTGAGTCAGAGATGGGGCCCAGGCAATACCCTGGCCTCCTGACCCCACCCAATCTTCCCCAGTAAAAAGGCTTCAAGTCCATTCCTTCTCCCTCTTCGTCCCCAGATGACTGATCAGGAAACTGAGGCACAAAACTGGAGGGTATGTGGACAAACTGGTCCTGGACCCAGGCCTCCAGGGAGCACCAGCAGAACTGGAAAGCGTGGTCCCTGCCCTGGTCATTGAACAGCATGCACCCAGACCTGAGGAGAGAAGGGCCCAGAACCCAGGCCAGCCTGGCCAGAGAAATGGCTGTGTGAGGCCCAGGATGGAGCCTGGTGCTAGGACTGCAGAGGACAGAGGAGAGGGGAGGCCTGCTGAACGTGAAAGAGCCATGGCTGGGTCTTCCGGGGCCCAGGAGGGCCAGCCTCTGGCCTCCTGCGGCCCCAGACGCAGCCTGTTAACCCCTCGGGGGCTCCATGCAGCTGTCAGAGTGAAGGCCCTGGGACTCGCTCTGGGGCCTCATTCTTCCAGGATCCTTTCCTCCCTCATCTCTGTTGTTTTCCTTTCTTTCTTTTTCTTTCTCTCCTTGGAGACCCTCATTTCCTTTCCCCAAGTCTGATCGGCCCAACACACTGATTTCGCCAAGGAGAACCCCCCAGGCAGATCGGGGTCCATCTTGCCCGCCTAGGGCTCAGCTCTGCTGGGGTTTGGGCCTGCTGGACCTGGGCGGGGCGGGGAAGAACATTCTGGCAGGCCCGGGGAGCAGCCTCCCTACACCAGCTCGCTCTGGCCTTCCCCACCTTACTCCTGGGGACACCGTTTCCTTCTGCCGGCAATGTTCTTCCTGCCAGGCCCTATTTGTCAGCAGTAGGACATATGCCTCTGGGGACCCTTTAGGAGGCTTTCAGGAAGCAGCATTTAGTGCCATTAAATCACACGGCAGGGAAACTATTCCCCATTCCAAGTGCTATCAGTCCCCCTGGAAAATCAAGAAGAAAGTAACAATTTGGAGCCAGGGTGTCTCTATCGCTACCCCGTCTCCCCTTTAACAGAGGGGACAGGTGTCGGCTTCAGGCTCAAGGACCTTTGCTTTCTTTCAACTTTTTGCTAGCACGTAATAGAAATTGGTTTCCACCCCCATTTATTTTTATGCTTACCTTCATCTTTTATTTATGGCACATGATGTCGGTTTTCCACTTAGAATCGTGACATCAAGTTTCCTTTCAAGACTAAACTGGTATTAGTAACAAGTGAGACCATTGAATATGAATGTGGCTTTAGAAACACGGAGTGAAATATCTGTGCTGGGAGTGGGGTGAGGCGGGCAGGAGTGTCAGGAGGGGACAAAAAGGGCTGGGGTGGAGGGACCTTGGCTCCAGGAGTCCCTTCATTTCACCCTCCTGGCCTCTCCCGGGGCCCTGGGTTCCCACCTGCTTGCGGCACCACTCAAGGCCGGTTCCCCGGGGCCCAGGGGCCGGCCAGCCACCCTCTCTGTCCCAGATTTCATTCTGAGCCTAGGCCGGCGGTCGGGTCTCATGGAAAAGGACGGAGGGTGGCGACAGTGGAGATGGGGAAGGAGGGGCCCCTACTCTGACCCTCTGTCCGTCTTAGGTCTTAGCTCTTAGCTCCGGGGCAGAAGGCGGCTGAGTTCCGGGTGCTCCTGGTAGAGCGAGAGAGACCACACGAGCCCACACGGAGATGAAGGCACACGCGTTCCAGCTAAATGGCTTTCCCCGACCCGGGGTGAGTTCAGGAGCACATGCCTCTAGATGGAGGCCAAGAGAGGAGTTGTCCGCCATCCCAAATAACTCCCCGCCTCTCTCAGCTCTCCGAGTCGGCTTGGGCTTGGGTGGCCCTCCTGATGGGGCCTCTCTGGGTCCCCTTGTGACAGCAAAGTGAAAGCACTTGGTATCTCCCCTGCCAGGCGGACCCGGGCTCCCTGGCCCAGAATTCTGTTTCCATGAGTCTCCCCATCCCCCGAAAGGTCCCAACAGGAGCAGGATCTCTAGCAACTCTGGGCCCCCGCCCAGCTCCCGCCAGCTTGGACCCCGCACTCGACAGAGGCCAACGGCGTCTGATGAACACAGCCAGCCCCCAAACTGCCTGCCTGACGCCCCTGCCCAGGTCACAAAGTGCCTTGGCACCCTGGGGGAGCTCAGGAGGGGGCAGGAGGGGGTCCTCAAGAGCTCTCCTATTCACTTGTGCCC